TCCAGCCCCCCATGACCCTAGTGAGGATTAAGCGGTGTATAGATAATGGATGGATGGATGGATGGACGTTGGTCTTGCACATATATTTTCCACATAATTGCAGAGAACATTTAGTCTCTCCTGCAGTTGACTTGTTATTATACCTTCTCTCATCCTGATGGCCATCTGGCAGATGAATACATGAAACAATGCTTCACAAATGCTCACATTGATCAGACAAAAAAAAAGGAAAATTACATGAAAAACACACTATATTCATATTTATGTAACACTTTCAAACCAAAAAGTAAACCGTTAGCCTGACAAATGTTGTCTTTCTGTTAATTTATTGGCTGATACCGACAATAATCCTGATATTATTTGTTGCACATTTGTATGTAATTAGATGAGTAATTAAGTCAAAGTAATTTACAAACTCACATAGCAGATAACAGATCTTAACCAAACTACAAAAACATCATAATCATCAAACACTTCATCAGCGTTGCATCAGTTCCCCTCATGAGTTTTTTTTTTCTCAGTTGCATAAAGTAAATGTGTGTAGCTGTGTGTAGTAAAGGTCTGTAAGAGTTTAACATCGAGACATCTCATCGGTTTGATCCCAGCGAGTTGTACTTGGTAGTCACTCCACACACTTTCCCCGCTGATCACCACCATCTCATGTGAGATTTAGCTGCTCGTCTCCCACATTCTTATTTCTCCTCAGTAAGTTCGGGCTGCCTCGCCAGCCACCGACAGCTGAGCAGTCATCACCAGAGCTGTAAGCTGTTGAGCTCTCAGCCCCGGAGCCTTTTCTCTTCGTGGCATGCTGCCCTGAGGATATTTTAGAGCAGGGATAGGCAGCCATATGTGCCAGAGCGTGCTGGGAAAAGGATGTTCTTTTATAATTTCAGCCCTATAACGCTGCAGCAGCTGATGGTATATGTTTGTGTATTCGACGGTGATCCGCTCCGTAGAAATCAGCTGTTGTTTCCTTTAGACTTTTTTTTTTTTCTTTTATTCTAACAGCTTTTTGGTTGTTTTAGATGCTGCTGGCACGAGCAGCCACAAGGTGACACTGTAGTACAAAAAGCTGCACGAGGCTTCACCCCCTAAAAAAATCTGGTTCTCCACTTGATCCCATCCTGCTGTAATAAGGAACCACGTCTCTCTCATTGAATATTTACGTTCCAATTAGAGATTAATGATTTCAAAGCAGTGTTTTTTCTTCTTCTCCTCTTTCAAGGGAATTACTAGATTTCAGCAGGAAGTTTTTTTTCCAGTAAAGGTTGCCTGTAAATGAGGCAAAGGTACCATGCATGGATCTGATGGACTTCCAAATGAGGGGTAAAAACTGGACCAGACTTACCCCAGACAATCTGCTTTGATCTCCCAATCTCCCCTGTGATATCCGGCTCTGGGAAAGCCTCCTTTACACCTTGTAGCCCTAAAGCAGAAGAGACACAAGGGCTTCACTATCCTCCCCCCGCTCCCTCCTTCACTGCCCATCTTTCTTCATTCACCATCCACACCCTGCGCTGGACTCTCTTTTGAAAGTCTAGGACTTGATTTAAAATTCCTCTTCAGAGCGTGTCATGCATTTTATATGCATAGTGAGTAGGGAGGGAGGGTAGGAGGGGGGGATTGCGTGGGGTTAGGGAGAGGGGAGGCTCCAGCCCAAATGAACTTCCCCTCTCTCCTCGGGGATATATCTGTACACACCACTTTTTCTTTCTCGCCTCCTCGCCCCTCATTTTCTCGCACCCACTCAACTCTTTCAACATTAGTTTTACTGCATCATGCTTTTTCACAAATTCCACCGAGCAGCCGTACAGCCTTTGAAGACAAGTGTGATCAGAACAGAGGCAGGGGGTGTACAAAAACCTGGCCGCGGGGCATTTGGGTTTTTTTTTTTTTTTTGCACTCGTAGTTTAGCAGCGTATGGAGCAGAGGAGGGAGGCTGACAAGTGCAGTGTTTGGGGACAGCTTTGATGTCTGATGGGGTGCGGCTGCTGCTGCTGCTGCTGCTGCTGCTGCTGCTTCAGTCCTTCACAAGGAGACTGTTGCGTTGGCACAAGCCGGGCTCTCACAGACAGAACACAGCTGCGATAGATAACAGATAATCAAAAGAGCACAGTTGATTCACTGCCAGCACACCTCAACATCTCTTATTCTCTCTTTTTTTTTTTTTTGCCAGAGACATGAAGCCGAGGAATCGATAACACAGAAAGAAGCAGACATGGACCTGCATCTGCTTGAGAAAAATCTGGTTTATTAGGAACAATATGATCCTGCTAGCTTATCGTGGATATAGCAGTAAACAACAGAAACACAATTCACTTTTCTTTTTTTTTCTTTTCTTTTTAAGTGCTACAGGTTTGCGATTATAGACATTAAACAGTACAGCAACCATAGTGCTACATTCATATATGCACAGAGAATATAAAAATTACAGTATATTGCTGTTAAACTGTTCCTATTCCTGCTCATCAGTCACCCTCTGCTTCCTACATCGCTGGGAATATGACACACTGCTGTAATGACAATCGGGTGGTTGTATAGTGATAACTGAGACAAGGTTTAGGTCTGGCAGGTCAACATTTTCTTTTTTTTTTTCTTCTTACAGATAAGCACTGAGTTATGATTGGAGCACAAAGTTGACAAAAGTTAAGCTGGTATTGTACAGCAACACTAGACAAACCCTCCACAGAGAGATCCCCCCCCTAAAAAAAAAACAAAAAAAACCTTGTGAGCAGACTCTGGAGGCGACTCTCGTTAAGCTACTTTTTTTTTTCTTTTTAAATTAAAGATTAATACAAGTTAACTTTGGTTTCCAGCTCTCTAGAACTATACTGTAAAGTTGTGGCAGTTTAAGCTGTAAGTAAAAGTTAAAAATCGACAGTATAGCAGCCTTGAAGCCGATATTAATACGACACAGAAAATTCACTTTTTTAAAACGATTTTTTTTTTCTTCTTGTTATAATAGCAGCCAGGAAATAATGTAGTTACAGTGTGATTCCATAGAAGACAGAGAGAGAGACAGAGAGAGAGAGAAACAAAAAAAAAATCTGTGATCTGGTACCTCTGAATAAATAGAAAATACAACTTCTTTGCTGTTATTTCTCATCTTCTAGTCTATTCTGTTATAAATATGGTTACACAGAGTGAATATCTATTGTGTTAAGACAGTATCTTTCATCCATGCAACAAAGAAGTTGGACATTTTTCATGACAGAGAAATCAAAAATCACTTTTCCATAACCGACTTGCTAAGCACTGTATACGACCCCCGGAAAGAAAAATATTTTGGAGCCTGCGAGCGTTTCCAAATTTTTCCATCAGACTGTAACACAAGACGAACATCGATAAAACAGGCTGAAAGGAACAAATCAATGACTGGATGCCGACCGGAGAGAAGGGGACATCTCAGGTTCCGGCACGCGGGACTCGCTGGCTTCGGCCCTGAGCTGAGACACCGGTGTCCACTCAGTGATCTGTGAGTCTGTCAGTCCAGGTCTTTTGTACGAGTGGGCTCTCCGACATCAACACGACTGGAGGACACGTGTGGACAGGGTCGGCTCTGAAACCGTTGAAACAGTTCGACCACAAACGGACTCGGTGAGGAGTAAAGAAAAGCTGCTACAGAGGTAGAACATAAACCCGGATTGATAAGTTTTCGTGTGCTAATGGCGAGGGCTGTGATGATCTAACTTTTAAAGGGGGAATAATTTAGCCGAGGTGCGGTCTCGTTCACATTACTTTGCTCAAGGAATGCGCTCTTAAAATGGTCCGTTTATGCTGCAGAGGCCTACTCCCTCAAAATACTAAATGTTTATTTTACTTCTACCTCATTCTCTTGTGCTGCCCTGCACGTCTCTCTCAGGATATTCAGCAGCTTTGAAACATTTTTTCAGGTTTCTCTTTTGCATATTCTCTCACACGCAAACCACTCGATCTGGTTTGGTGTGCTGCGAAAAAATAAAAATAAAAACCAACAATAAAAAAAAAAAAAAAAAAAGGAAAAAAAACAACAACGCAGAATCAAGGAGCTTTCTGCAAAAGAAAGCTCAGCTCAGCCTTGCACCGGCCCGTCCTCCATTACAGGCCAGGGAGAGCATAATGGTGCAGTGTGTGCTCAGAGTTCACTGGAGCTGTCTGAGGAGTGAAAGCAGGAGACGCACACTGCGCCGGTTGTAGTGCTGAGCCGTTTCCATTATGCATTCTGAGCAGCTGTTCTGTGGAGGAGGTCCTTTGAAGGACGGCTGCAGGGAGATAACTGGAGTCCACAGTTCAAACGGGGTCCTTCACCCTAACAAGCAGGGGCGGGGCCGCGGCCACTTCCTCTCTGGCGGTGTCATCCTTGCACCCCGACTGTCAAGAGCCTCCGAAACAGAGGTCCCACACATGCAACGTCTACACTAACACTCAACGTTCATGCTATAGCTAGTACAGAAGCAGGCAGAACAAAAAAAACAAACTAAACAAAACAAAAAAAAAAGATGCATGCCACTGATTCCTCGTCTCTCCTCAGCTTAGTGTGATTACATCTAAGATGCCTCTTTTTCTAGACATCCTTTGCTCTGAGGGCCGCGCCCCTGGTTCCTTCGCTTGTTTTGATTTGTGTCTGTTTTGACATGAAGGGGGGCAAGGAGGAAGGAGTTTTTTCTGTGAGAGGCTTTGAAGAGAGCCTGATTCAGAAGAGTCTGAAGGTTGTCTCTGAGGGGTCAGGGGTGTCTTTAAAAGGAAAAGAAAAAAAAAAGAAGAAGAGGAGAGGATGCTGAGAAATAAAGTGAAGCTGATAGAAAGAACGGCTTGTTCACTTTTGTGTAAGGTACGCTCCGATGGTGAGGCTCGCTGCCCCGAGTGCTGCCAGACCGAAGACCGTCTTGATGGAGGGCCAAGAGCAACTGAAGACTGAGTCCCTCTGTCTGTCATACAGCTCCACAAAGGCGTCCTGAGAGACACAGAAAGAGAAAGACAGGCAGTTAACTAGGCAGCCAAAGAACACGTCTCCTTGGATAAACCTGGCATCCCGTTTTATTCCACTTAAAGACATACGAAGAGTTCATTTTCAAAAACAGATAACTCCATTTTCAGAAAACTTTTGTTGTTGTTGTTTGCTTGAGATAGAATCAATCAAACTGAAGTCGAGTGGATTTGACTCAGTAGAAATAGAGATAACTTATGTTTGATTGATATTGTTTGAGGTAGATGATGGAACAGTGGGTTTTCTGAAGGTTTGTGAAGATGGAGTTATCTGTTTTTGCAAATAAACCCTTCATAGAGTACCTATAAAAAGTATCTACACCCTCTGGAAGTTCCCCCTTTAATGCTCTTCAACATTGAATCATGGTTAATTGAATTTGGCTTTTTGACAAGAATTTACAAAAAAAATCTCTTTTATGTCCAAGTAAAGACAATAACCCAACACATAGGGCCAGATATACACAGAAATGGTTCAAAGACAACAAGGTGAGTGTTATGAGGTCGCAGAGTCGGAGCCCAGATCTCGATCCAACTCAGACTTGAACAGTTTGGCAAAGAAGAATTTGGGTAAAACTGCCGGATGTGCACGGCTGATGGAGACCCATCCACACAGGCTTAGTGCTGTAATGGTAGCACCATTACTAAACACTGACTGAATACTTCTGCAATCACTTTCATTTTTAATTAATTGATGTTACTTGTTAGAAATCTGTTTTCACTTTGACAAGAAAGAGTCTTTTTTTTGCAAATTTTTTCCAGAAAAAAAAATCAGGAGTGAATACGTTCAATAAAAGCATTTCATATTCAGCCACTAGTCTGTAATTCCACTTTTAAAAAGTACAGCAGTTCCCTAAAACACCTTGAAAGCACAACCGTTACCACTGTCACGCAAATAGAAGTCAACATTGCATTTGTCTGGGACTGTCTTCAGCTGCAGATTAAAGCTTTAGTAACTGTTTTCTGCAGCAGGACAGTATATGTAGGACTGACTTCCATATGAAGATGTAATGTACATTTTTAAACATTTATTTCGCCCTCTCCTAACAGGATAGAAAAGAGAACAGCGAACCGTCCCCAGCTGGGATTTAAACCAGGGATCCGCTGCTCGTGGCATATGTGCCCATGTAGTGAGCGCTCAGCCATTTATGTTTTCAATAACTCTCTTAATTCTTAAATCATACGATATATTTTCGATGCTCCACAGTTTCATTTTCATTCATTGTTCTTGGATTCAGCAGAAATCTCAGGGGCACATGTGTAAAAACAAAAAAAAGAGGAAAATGAAACCAGAACTATTTATTTTTCCTACTTTTTCCCCCTGATTTGGGTGAACTGACCCTTTAAAAGGTAAATCCCTGGGCTGCCACTAAATGTGTGTGTGTGTTATTACACCCATGCCACAGGCAGATCCATTACTGTTCATCAGCTCTCACACCCTCCTACGCACAACCTCAGACGCTCCTCATGCTGAAAACACACAAACAAGCCAACCAAGCAGGGAATCACCAAAAGAGCCAATTCGCAACAGATTTTGGGTGTTTTTTTTAATTTAGTACGTGGATGAGCGCTGCAGCACTCAAGCATAAATATAGCCTGTTAATGCTCCTCAGAGGGGGCTGCGCTTTCTGCTGCTCGCAGGAGTTTTAAAAAGGGCCTGCTACAAATTGAGAATGTGCGAGTGAGTGTACATAAAGAGCATCTGTGGGGCGAATACCATGACTGCATGTCTTCGACGAGGAAATACAGACATCTGCTCATGAGCGGTGACAGCAGGAACAGCTGGACGGGAAGTAATGCCGCTAAGCTCTCTGCTGCCCCACACACAAGCAGATTAAGCAAAACTACAATAGAGCGTGTTTCAGAAAGGTTAAAGGGAGGAAATATCGACAACTCCCACTGAATAGTTTTCCTTTTGTTGCGCTGCTGACCACATTAGTAGCTGCGTCGCGAAGCCGTGCATCTTTGATGTCTTTGTTTTCAGCTGTAATCTGACCTCTCCGTGAACAATGGAGAATTGTTAACTTTGATTCACGGCAACATTACTGTGTCAGTTCCCATGACAATCTATTATCATTCTATTCTCATCTGTCTGGATGTGAGTCAATTCACTTACAGTAATTATGTTGTGTGTTACTTTTATTGGCGTACACGTGTTTTATTTGACCTTGATCTATTTGAATCCGGTTAATTATCCTCTGTTTCATAACTGTCACATTTCAGCACAGAGTTTCCTTTTATCAAACAAAAAAAAACCCACACGGGCCTAAAAAAAGGAGGCATCCACTCTGACGGGCTGCGGGGAGACAAAAGCATTTCCTGCTTCCCTTCCCGTCCTGTGGCATTCCTGAGGCTGGGGGCTGGTGACACAGGGGAGGAAGGATCAGCAGTTTCTTCCCACTTTTAGGCCCTCTGGTGTCCGCTCCTAAATCAGCCGGCGATATCTTTAACCACACCGCGCTTTCTTTGTTGCCGCTGAGCGTTTTTAATTATCCAACGGCGAAGACGGCAGTCTGCGCTCGCAGCTCTGCGAGGCTGCACTCAGACAAAGCTGAGCTAAACGCCAACCTCAGCACGCTCACACGCTCACAATAGCAAACATGTGACAGTATCGTCTTACCCCAACCTGCTAACGTTGGCTAATTAGTACCAAAGATAAAGTGCAGCTGAGGCTGATGGGATATCATTAAACCGAAGCATCCTGAAGGAACAATGAATGTCTACAGCTGGTTTCCTACCAACCAGTAGACGCTGACATCAGTGGTGAAAGAAGTATTTATTAAGTAAAATGACTAATACAGCAATGTGGAAATACTCGTTACAAGTAGACATCCTGCATGAAAAAACTATTCAGGTTAAAGTCTGGAAGTAAAAGGAGCAAAATGTAGTTAAAGTGAGAAAAATATGAATAAAGATTGTGTACCTGTATGTAACATATTTAAACCATCATGTAGCTGCAGCAGGTGATTAAACTGCTTTATATCCAGTTTTATTTACAGGGATTGACAAATAATTAATGGGAGAGGAAAGAAATTGACTTCTGGTTCCCCAAATCTTTGACTTTTAGTGAGATACTGGATCATTTGACCATTTATTAAAATAAAACCACATGAGAAGGGTTTTTTTTTAAACATACACTATATTCTAACTTCTAATAACTTGTTTAACTGTAAACTAAATTTTATAATTCATCCTACATCCACCCAACCGGTCCAGGCAGATGGCCGTCCCTCCCTGAGCCTGGTTCTGTCTGAGGTTTTTTTTCCCCCGCGAGTTTTTTCGGTTCCTTGCAGACTGTTGAAGCTCATAGGGAATCCAAATGTTTTGGATTGTTGGGTGTTTCTGTCTCTGCCTTTGTTAAGCGCTATGAGATGACTTGTTGTTGTAAATATGCGCCCTACAAATAAAATTGAATTGAATATATTGTGGAGCTGCTAACAACTGTGCAGGTTTAATCTGTAATAACGTGTTGTATTAAAATCTATATTATCAATCTTGTAAAATCTTCATCTCAATCAGATGAATGAACCAGAGTAGAAAGTCCAATATTTCCCTCTAAATGTGGCTTAAAATGGAAATAATGGAGCAAATCTTCACAGTTACATCCCTCCACTGGTTGATGAACTTCACAGGATAAGTTACACATCACACCTGTCAGTAGAGCTCGGAAACCCCCCGCTGATAACCGAGCTCATTATGATTCATCCTCTGGGCACCACGAGCAGCTTCCCAACATGCCATAATAAGTCTATCTAATCTTTCTAGAGAGATTTCAATCTGGACCAAAGCGGCGTCGCCCTCCCCGGAGTCGTGCTGCTGGTTTGGAAAATGTAAAATGTCAGACGGCTTTATTGTCGAGCACTGAACAGGCTCTGTCCACGGCCTCCTCCTCTCCACCGTTCAGGTATTAATAAGAGAACAGGCTCTTCAGTCAGACCTCCAGCTGAGGTTAACGTGCTGGCTGGCAAAAACACTGCCTTCATTTTTTTTTTTTTTCTTTTCCTCACCTACTCTTGGAAAATAACAGTTTGCTGAGGCTGTAGCCGAAAGCAGCCACCGGTCCCAGCAGCAAGTGCATGTGACTGACCGCTAGCAGGGCTCGGCGAAATGGCAAACTCATGATGCGTGTCCTTGACGCGTCCCAGACAGTCGCCGTAGATTATCGTCTATTTAAGTCTGAAACAAAAGTGGGCCAATTACAGTAAGAGGTTCGTAAGAGCTGTGATGGATGTTTAGAAGAATCCCAGAAGGGCAGCGCAGACTGAATCAGAGGAGGAGGAGGTGGGGGAGAGCTGGGAAGCAGAGACGGGGGAGGAGGGGGAGGATGTCAGGTGGATATCATGAGACTGAGGCATGCTCCACTTCAGCTCCTGGAACTTTTTCACCCACACAGTAGCGAGCAACCGCCGGCAACCATGTGAGCGGTGTGAAAAACAAACACGGGCACTTTCCATTCTTTCCCTTTCTTTCTCTCCTCCTCGTTTCCTCCATCTGCATTGACTGTCATTATGAAAAATAAAAAATCTGAAGCCTTTTGAAGAAAGTAACGATAAGCAGCTGTGGAAAAAGGACACGGAAAGTTGACGGGGACCGGAGAGGACAAAACATCTGCATTCAACAAAAGATTTTATGATCCTCAGAAGCTCATTTTTTTGCCCCGCAGCAAAGCCATCTGCCACCAGCAGCAGGTGTGCATCTGGGAAATAAAGTCCAGGCTGCGGTTCTCTGCAGTATTCATTTTTTCGGATCAATGGCTTTTAAAAGGTCACGGCCAATCTGCAGAGACCTGCAAGCCGACAGGAAAGTCTATCCAGGTTTACACACACACTCGCTTTTCTTCATTTTTCACTGCAAACAATGAATCCCTCAGAGACGTCCACACAGAGCAAAGGAGTCAGACAGTGAGGACTTGAGAGGATCCCATCCTCAGCCATGGGGTGGCAACTTTCTGCCCGAGTGTCATGGTTACCC